TTCAAAACACAAAACAGGAGTTGGGTATTCAGTATAGAATGGGGAGGAAATGTAAAAGATTTAAATTTTATAAGGTATAGTGATCAATGGTATCCCTCATCTTTTCTGTATTGTTAAAAATGAAATATGATTTTTTAACTTTTATAAAAGTTTCATGTTATCTAAAATCACATTTAAACTTTGCTAGACAAAAAGAAAACTACCAGGAATTTTTTTCTTTTTTAAAAAAGGAGTTTGTACCTTACAAGTAATAGTCATCTACCTCATTGCTTTCAATGAGTTATGGAGTTTGAGAAAAACATGTTTTCTGAAGAAAAATAATGAGAGAAAGTGAAATTTTTTTTCTTTTTTACAACAGAAATTAAAAGACTTATTTAATATCTGAAACTGTGTCATAACCATGTTTTTGGGACTTAAGAATGGAATTTTATGCACAATATACATATCACAAATATTTCAAAATCACTCTTACATTCCTCTTAATATTTTTTTTCCCCATGATAGTATCACAGAAATGTATAAATTCAAGGTGTGAAATTAAAAAACACTCAGTACTGTTGTTGTCTCAACTATGGGTAACACCTTTAGGAAGCAAAAGAGTAAAGGAATGAGTAAAATTCAGTTTGAAAAGAGAATTCTTTTAGAGAAAGATGTAGACAGAGGTATACCAATAAAAAAAAAAAGATGGCACTCTTGAAATCATTTCTCAAGAAGAATATAACCCATTTTTATCCAGAAAAGAGTGATCTTAATGTTGTCAGAGATTACATAGAAAGACCCTTAATTGCAGAAGAAGTCAATGAGGAATATAACCTTGTATTACCCATAGAGGGTGAGGGTAACCTGGATTACCCTGTAAGACCCTTGACTAGAGAAGAAGCCAAGTTTATAGATGATAAGAAAAAAGAGATGTCAGAAAAAAAAAGATTGATAAAGACAGAGGATTTTAAAGAGTTCACAAAATAATGAAAGAAGTTCAAACTCAACTCTTGGAGGATATTAAGACTCATTATCAAAACAGACAGAAAGAAAATACAGGCAATGGTTATATTGCTAACTTTAAAATAAACAGATTTAGAATAGCTAAAAAAAAAAAAATTGGATATTTGATTTAACTGGGTGCAGACAGGAAGATGTAGATCAAATCATTAGAAGTGATTATCAATACTTGATCTTACAAAAAGAAAGGCATCCAGAAACTAGAAAACTTCATCATGTGAAAGGATTCATACAAATGAAATACAGGGCTCATGAGAGATACATGTACATAAAAGATTCATAAATTAACTTGTTTTGATATGTCTCACAGTACCCCAAGAATTGGAAAGAACCTTTTATAGACAAGGTAACTATGAAGAATATGGAGTTCTTAAATCTGAAGTGAGTAACAGAGAATTAATTCCAAGAGATTGTAGATTTACCTGAATTTTTTTTTTAAAAAAAAAAATTATCAAAAAAAAAAAAAAAATAATAATTTGTACACACACACTTATGATTAAAATACATTCTTTTATCCACATAAAGTGTATGTATGTATGTGTTATTGTTTTGATGAAAAAATAAAAAATTTAAAGAATGTGTGTTTTAATGTGAATTTATTTTATAAAAAGGGGTTATCATTATTTAAAAGTTAAAGCTAATTTTAAAAAGTTAATGTTTTCAAAAAGTTATAAAGTTTTAAAAAAGTTATAAAAATTATAAAAAGTGACCTGGTGTTATAAACTTGAGATACACACACGTTTCTTTATTGACTGAATATGAAGGCATCTTTTCGAAAAATTTGGTGGTCCTTAAAAGGACCGTTTGGTATAAAAAACACTTTTTGGTTTTTTTTCTGGTTTTTGTTGATTTTTTTGGTTTTTCTGGTATTTTGTTGATTTTTTTTTTGTTTTTTCGTTGATTTTGTTATCAGGTAGGTCCCGCCTAGGCTGCCAGCAGCTCCTGGACCAGGTGTCTAATGGACTCATCGTCTGAATCTGAGGAACTGTCAGGGGGGTTGAATTCCTGCCTCCTCGACAAGGGTACGGGGACCCGGATCCTGTTCCTGCAGAGGGGGCAGGGTAAGTTCTCCTCGATGATCCTGGCGGTGCATAAGGTGCACGAGGGGCGCTGGATGCATCGCGAACAACAGTAATTGCTCTCCTCATCCTGCTGCAAACATAGGGAACAGAAAATCCTTTCTGTACCTACCCGGAATCCCCAGGTGGGGATCCGCCCTTGGTTCCGGGCCTGTACCTGGGTTGTAGTAGGTCTGGGTGACGTAAAAGTCCTGGGTCCACTTCTTACCCTAGTATAGGGGTGGCTCCTCCGACCCTGCCTGCTTCTCACCTCCGTATTCGCCGTAACTTGCATGAAGTTATACCGGGACAGCTCCTCCCCCGTAGCGATCCGCCTCACGATGACCACAGTCTCGATGGAGATTCCGGGAATCATCCGGTAAACTTCCTGAAATTCTTGACTCATCTTTTCTTCTTCTTCTTCTTGTTCTTCTCTGTAACCAAACAAATCAAGCGCAAAGGAATGATACTGAAACCACGGAGGGACTGTATTTATTTACAATAGCAGACGATACTGGAATCGCGTGCGAAACATGGAAAAACCCATCATGTGATCAAATGTGATTGGCTAAAAAAAAATCACCCCATTTGGTAAACACGCCCATCACAGTGAGAAAGCAAAATTGAGGGGGGGAAAGGCCGAACCCGAGTGTATCTATGACGTCATGCAATAACATAACAGTGATGTAGTATTACAAGATTTTTTTTTATTTTGTTTTATTTCTTAAAAACTAACAATGCTTCTAACTGTCGAATTCTCCTCCGAAATCGTATTTTGTATATGATATTCATTGCATCCAAAGGGGTGGGGTCTAGTCATTCGTAGATTTGATTGAGGTTTTAGGTATTTAAAAAGGTCACTGATTTTTTTTTTCTTAACCCTGTGTGAAATTTCCTAGGTATTGAATACATACTTTTTTTTTTTCTTTCCATTGCATTCAATGTTCGTCGAGGCTGTACCTGTTTTTCTCTAGTAGAATCCATGTCTATCACCCTGATGGCTCTGAGGGTAAAATGAACCCAGAGTGAAAGAAAAACCACATTTATATACAGTGGATGACGTCATAATGCACAGGTAAGTTTTTGCACACGGCCCTAAAACAAAAACTTGACTCGCTGCCAAGTATTTACCTGTGTAGTCAGCATATTTCTTTGCACACGGCGCTAGTATTACCTGTGTAGTCAGCATAAAAAAAACGTAGGTCTATCGTTATATGTTTTGCACACGACTCACACCAGGTATATAAAGCTGAGCTGGGAGTACCCTGCACTCATTGTACCCATCATGTATTTCACGTGGAGATTGATCTATTGGTTTGATGTAGAAAAATATATCTGTCATTACTGTGATCAGAATACGATGAATTATAAACAATTGACAGTATATAACTATCCGGGATGGCATCAGAGAACGTACAGGATTTGTCAGCATTGTGAAATGCCATTTCCACACTGGTATGTGGATGATGAGCCTTCTTTAGAAGATTGCGGTTGTAGCTGGTGCCTGAAATACTTCATACACAAGAAAGGAATTGAGAATATACCGCCTCCCCGATGGATGAAAATGACTAGGAACAGACCGTTGAAAGAATGTATGATGTGCTACCAGGAAAAGACTCAAGGAAAATGGAAATGCGGACAATGCCGGCAATATCCGTGTTGTGAGGAATGTGTGAAGAAACTCTTTGAGACGTCCTACCAGAAATGTCCCTTATGCCGATACAGTGGAAATTAAAATCATTTTTGTATTTTTTCATTCTAAATAAAAATTGAATAAAAATCACAATCTGTCTTGTTTGTGTTTTGTTTTCAGTAAAAAAAAAAAATCCAGGTGGTTCTTGTCTTTCAGTAAAACCAGTTCAAACCGGTTATAGGACTGTCTAGACTGTGAAGCGTGACGTCATAATCACATTCTTGCAATGTTTATTTGCACACGCCGCATTTTTTACCTGTATAGTCAGCATAAAAAAAAAAAACGTAGTACCTACGTATAGTGTAAAACACACTCCGTATTTAAGGGGATAGGGTTAGGGGTAGGGGTAGGGGGGGTTAGGGTTAGGGGGTTAGGGCTAAGGGATTAGGGTTAGTTAGGGTTAGGGTTAGTTAGGGTTAGGGTTAAGGGGATTAGGGTTAGTTAGGATTAGGGTTAGTTAGGGTTAGGGTTAAGAGGATTAGGGTTAGTTAGGGTTAGGGTTAGGGTTAGTTAGGGCTAAGGGATTAGGGTTAGGGGTAGGGTTAGGGGTTAGGGGTTAGGGTTAGGGTTAGGGGGTTAGGGTTAGGGGGTTAGGGTTAGGGTTAGGGTTAGTTAGGGTTAGGGTTAGTTAGGGTTAGGGCTAGGGTTAGAGGGGTTAGAGCTAGGACTGCACTCAGTTGACCCACCTATCCCCTCAACCAATCAGAACTGATCACGTGATTTCTCTCAGCCAATCAGAATCCTCCCCTATCTAGACGCCTTATACTACTATTATTGTATGCATGATTTCTTTTTTCAAGGTTGATTATGTGTGTCAGTTTAATTTATTAATTCATCGACTTGTTATGACTCTGTTCAGAACTTTTAGTACTATTTCATGTAAGCCTGCATTGATTAATTGATTGATTAATTGGTTGATTGTTATTTAACGTCCCTCTCGAGAATTTTTTACTCATATGGATACACCACCTTCCGGTGGAGGACTTCCAATTCTGACTTACGCTCGACACTTGCGGACATTGAGCAGTGAGGGATCTTTATCTTGCAAGCACCTATTGCGACACGGGACGTCGGTTTATGCGGTTTCTTACGAAGGAACGGTCTCTACGTCCCGCGGTTGGATTTGAACCCGCTACGCAGGTTCAACTCCAGCCTGCATTGAAGTACAGAAGAAAGTCAATTTATTTGAAGTATTCATTATAAAATAGCTGGAAATAATATTATATATAACCTCTGTCGACATTATGATATCATTTTCCATGATTAAAAGGCCACTTCTGCAAATCTTGATAGAGGCATTCTCCAGGACTCGCAGTATTACTGAAATCTCTGTGTCCCTTCAGAATGAAATTAGTTCGTATTTTGCCTTCTTTTACACCCCGTCGAATCAGATCTTTAGCAGCTTCAAGTGCTTTCTGATTTGGAAGTCGTCTATCAAAGTTTCCGATGAAGCAAATTCCTGATAAAAAAGGTACATTAAGTTGTAAATTACCTTTATTTTAGTTAATAAATGAGATATTTTCCAAGGTCAAATTCTGTTGTTTTTTCCCTTGAAGAGATTATATTTTAAAAAACAAGATGTGTTTGTGAAACACTGATACTAGTACCCCTGTATGGCAGCATAGTGAAGATTAAACTTTTCTTAAATGCAAATTTAATATATTGGTACCTAAAGTAGGGTCTCCTAACTGGAAATACAACTGTGAGACATGAAAGCCCTATCGTCATCTGTTCCCAATTATGGCCATGCTAAAGTTTTTTTCATAAGTACAGAAATCTTCAAGATCAAGGTCAGAAGGTCAATATTATTATCAAATGAAATGTATTTCCACAAAGAACACATGTTTGAAGTATGGAAGCCCTAGCCTTAACCATTCAAAAGTTATGGCCAAGGTTAAAAGATTCTAAAAGTAGGTTAAACTCAAAGATCAAGGTCAGAAGAACAAGGTTATAAGTATTGAATGAAAGGTCTTGTCACAAGAATGACATATGTGAAGTATGAAAGCCCTAGCCCTTATTCTTGAAAGTTATTGCCAGGGTTAATATTTTTTCATAAGTCCTGAAATCTGTAAGGTCAAGGTCAAAAGGTTAAGATTAATGGTATCCAATAAAAGGGCATGTCACAAAGAATACATTTATGAAGTATTGAAGCCCTAGCCCTAACCGTTAAAAAGTTATTGCCAAGTTTAATGTTTTTTCTAGTGTTGGCAACGAGTACCCGGTTAACCGGTTAACCATCGAACAATGCGAGTATCGGTTAGTAAAACTGCTATTCGGTTACTCGGATAAAAATGCATTTTTCATAGTAAATACGTATGAAATAATTTTTTTGCTATTTGTAAATGTATATTGACACATTTCCCTAATTTAATTACTGTTAGGCTTGCTCTAGTGGTTCACAAATAGGATCGATTTGTTTTGATTAGTTTAATTAATGACTTTAATTGTCACGGGGTACAAGTTTTGAAGACCTGAGTTATAATTGCCCCATTAAGACCTGTGTAAGTCAGAGGAACATACTTTAACAAGATGCCGCCGCAAACATCTAAAGCGTGGAAATATTGTTAAAGAATTTCTGTGAATCTGAGTTGTCGTATACGGGTGGAACTACAAATATGCTAAATCAAATAAGATTGAAAAATAATTCGATAACCAGTGACTTAAATGAAACTCAGCAAATATAATCAGTAACTGCAAAGTGTTACAGAGTAGGTTAGTTTTCCTCGATCGTGACATATATCTCCTTCAGGTGTCGATAAAATTATTTCTTAAACAATACAAATTCCCCGTTTCAAGTGACTTTTAAAATCAAAATTCTTCGAAGGTATTATGTTTTTGGAGTTTGTATTTGTAAATGAAGTTCATATATGTAACATTTATTATTTACTTCTATCAATATATAAAAGGATGAGATTCATAATAAATACGGAAACTATAACAAAAAATCATCCGAGTAACCGGGTACTCGATCGGAAGAGTATGCGAGTAACCGGTTACTAAAAATCGTCCGATTTGCCAACACTAGTTTTTTCATAAGTCTGGAAATCTCCAAGGTTAAGGTCAGAAGGTCAAGGTTATTGGTATCCAATGAAAGTTCTTTCCACAAAAAATTCATATGTGAAGTATGGAAGCTCTAGCCCTAACCGTTCAAAAGTTAGGGCCAAGGTTTAAAAGGTCAAAGGGCCAAAGGTCTTGATACTAGTATCAAATGAAAGGTGTTGTCACAAGAATTAAATATTAGAGTATGAAAGCACTAGCTCTGGCAATTTAAAAGATATGGCCAAAGTTTGTTTTTTAAAAGTAGGTCAAACTCCAAGGTCAAGGTCAAAGTTCTTAAGTATCCAATGAAGCGTCTTCTTACAAGGATTACATATGTAAAGTATGAAAGCTTTATTTCTCACTGTTCAAAAGTTATTGCCAAGGTTAAAGTTTTTTCATTAGTACGTAAATCTCCATTGTCAAGGTCAAAAGGTCAAGGTTGGTGGTATCCAATTAAAGGTCTTGCCACAAAAAATATATATTTGAAGTATAAAAGCCCTAGTATCTACCGTTCAAAAGTTATGACCAAAGTAAAAATTAAAAAATTTTGTGTTAAAGTGGGTCAAATTTTAGGCCAAAAGGTCAAATTTGGTGGTACCCAAAGAAAGGTCTTGTCACAAGAAATACACATGTGAAATATGAAAGTCATAGCTCCTCTAAATCAAAAGTTATGGGCAAGGTTAAAGTTTTTGCGGACAAACAGACGAACAGACAGAGAGACAGACAGATGGACACGACAAAAACTATATACCCCCGAAAGTTACGGGGGCAGAATAATGAAAGATTATAAAATAAGTATTTAAGATGCATCTTAAAACCATACTTGTGCTTTTGTTGCTTGTTTTAACATACCTATGCTGTCTTTGTTAAAGTATAACATACCAATCCTATCTTTGTTAATGTATAACATACTAATCCTATCTTTGTTAATGTATAACATACCAATCCTATCTTTGTTAATGTGTAACATACCATTCCTATCTTTGTTAATGTGTAACATACCAATCCTATCTTTGTTAATGTGTAACATACCAATCCTATCTTAGTTAATGTATAACATACCAATCCTTTCTTTGTTAATGTATAACATACCAATCCTATCTTTGTTAATGTATAACATACCAATCCTATCTTTGTTAATGTGTAACATACCAATCCTATCTTTGTTAATGTGTAACATACCAATCCTATCTTTGTTAATGTGTAACATACCTATGCTATCTTTGTTAATGTATTAAATGAACTTACCTTTACTATCTTTTTAATGTATAACATGTGTTAGTGTACCTTTGTTATCTTTGTTAATGTATTATATACCTTAGTCCTATGCTATCTCTGTTAAATATTACATACCTATGCTATCTTTATTAATGTATCACATACCTATGGTTTCTTTGTTAATGTATTACATACCTATGCTATCTTTGTTAATGTATTACATACTCATGCTTTGTTAATGTATTACATATCATGCTATCTTTGTTAATGTATTACATACCTATGCTATCTTTGTTAATGTATTACATACTCATGCTTTGTTAATGTATTACATATGCTATCTTTGTTAATGTATTACATACCTATGCTATCTTTTCTAATGTGTAACATATCTATACTATCTTTGTTAATGTATTACATACCTATGCTATCTTTGTTATTAATGTATTACATACCTATGCTATCTTCACTAATGTGTCACATATCTATACTATCTATGATAATGTATAACATACATATGCTATCTTTGTTTTACATACCTATCAATCTTTGTTAACGTATTACACACCTATGCTCTCTTTGTTAAGTCCTTTGGTGTGAGCCCCTTCTTTACCCCATCCACGGCCCTCATATACATTCCCATCCTCTCCAATCAAGAAATTGTATGCAATATCAGACCAACCTAAAAATAAAAATGCTTGTATGGTCCATTCGCTGTCAAGTCAAGCTTAGATATTATTTCCCTTGAGAATTATTTAAGAGAATACCGATTTTGATTTAGTAGGGGAATGAATATCTCTACACACCTCTGTTATAAATATGGTAGGTCTGATTTGAACGTACTTCTTCTGCACATTGGTGTTCTGTGAGTGCGTTGATGCCTGAACCGCTGTGTGATATAATGACGTACCTTGGAATGTGTTGTAAATTATCTACCTTTCCCCCTGGTTGTGTTGCTCCCCATTCACTGCGACTTATAATTCTGCCGATTAATGGCTCTAAAAATTATGACATATATATGAAAAATTATTCAAAAGGGTATTAAATTAGAAGTTGGGTGGATAAATAGCTCATTTTTTTCATTTATCCTTTTTATTTGAAAATGTACAACAACATGAACTGTCGACGTCTTTCAAATGTTCTCTGCAATAAAACAAACAATAAATACGATAACTTCTCTTCATTTTAAGACCTTTTCACAATATGCATCACGTAAACATCAAATTTCTTTTGTTTTCATAGAATGAAATACCCTAGTAGATTACCTTAATTCATTAATTTTTTTCTGAGCCTCTTTGATGTATTCGATCGCTCTTTGATCACATTTACCGAAATGTTTTAAAAGTTCATCATATTTTCCAGGTGCCAAATGTCCTTTTGCCTCCAGAATGTTAAAATCTTCCACCACGTCACCTTTTGGATACGGAGCTCCTGTGATACGTCCAATAAATAACCTCCACCGATCAAGTCCACCTTCATATTTGATAAAATCCAAAAGTTTATCTAATAAATCTGTATGCACTTCCCGTATGGAATTGTTTGTGGTAATAATATTCATCGTCACGATTACAGCTGTACATTTTCTTTATAAAAGGTTTTCTGCAAAATAAAATAGGATGAATATTTATCAAAGAAAACTATATGAACACAAATCAATTTGCTGTGGTTCACTTTTTTGTAATTTTGTGCTACATCATTACAGACCGTGTCGTTGGAATGTAATTTCACTCGTTTTTTATTTATATATTTTACCTTTTAAACTTATAGAATGTTTTCACAAAAAACTTGTTAGTAGAAAAGGTATTTTATCTTCATTAAATAATACATTTTAATTTGCCTTTTAATTAGGTCACCTGAGTAAACTCGGGTGACATTGCCATCCGTTTTTGTCCGTCGTCGTGCGTCGTGTGTTAACATTTGAACATTTTCAGCTTCTTCTCTGCATCCACTCAACCAGTTTCAACCAATTTTGGCATAAAGCATCTATGGGTAAAGGGGAACAAAAATTGTGAATTTCATGGTCCCTTCCCCTGGGGCCTGATGGGTGGGACCAAAACCACTAAAATTAATGCAATCTTTAAAAATCTTCTTCTTTACTCCTGGACATCAAGCAGTCAAGCTGTTGGTATGAATAAATGAGCATTGAGTCCTCTAGCAAAATTGTGAAATTCATGGCCCTAGGATAAGGGGTTCTAGTGCTAGGATGGGGCTACATAGATTATATACTGAAATGCATTATTTCTTTGAAAATCTTCTTCTCTACTCCTGGGTATTAAACAAACCAAATACATGTATATAGTTATGTTGAATAAGGCTGCCTCTTCCAAAATTGTGAATTTCATGGCCCCAGGGTCAGGGGTTCTGGTGTTAGGGCAGGGCTCTACTAATTATATAGAGAAAATGCATGAATTCTTTGAAAATCTTCTCCTTTGCTTCTTGGCATTAAACCAGTAAACTATGTATATAGTTATAATGAGGAAGGATGCCTCTTCCAAAATTGTGAATTTCAGGGCCCCTAGGTTGGGGGTTCTGGGGTTAGGATGGGACTCTATTGATATTGAAAATACCTTAATTCATTGAAAATCTTCTCTGCTCCTTGAAATAAACGTACCAAGTACACAGTTATGTGGAATTAGGCTGCCTATTCCAAAATTGTGAATTTCATGGCCCCAGGGTCAGGCGTTTTGGTGTTAAGGCGGGGCTTTAATGATTAAATAGTAAAAATACATTAATTCTTTAAAAATCTCCTCTACTCCTGGGTATTCAACCAGTGAACTATGTAAATAGTTATGATGAGGCAGGCTGCCTCTTCCAAAATTGTGAATTTCAGGGCCCCTGGGTCAGGGGTACTTGTGGTGGGGAGGGGGGTTACATAGTTTGAAAATA